TTTTTTTTTGTTTGTTGTAGATGAAATTTATTGACAACAAAGAAACTGTTCTCTCAGTGTGGAATAATGGCAGAGTAATGTCCAAGAAGTGTAAAAATAATGTACTTTCTATGTTTTTGGTGGTTGTCGAAGGTAAGCTAAGATATACATTTGTTATCATTTTTGTTGTTAGACTTTTATTAATAATGTATAGGAAACATAAACTTTTTTAAATAGTACCTAAATCTTTTCTCCACAGAGGCAAATATATATTTTTGTTTTTTGAGATAAAGTTAATTAAAACGCTAAATTTTTACATACTTAAACCTTTTTATCAATTGACTTAAAAGAATTGATCCTATTTTTCTACTCTTTTGGCAATTTTTCGATATTTTCTTTTTAAAAAGTAATTTTTCTAATTTTTACTCCTTCCTTTTTAATTTTTTTCATTTTTAAAAGACAAATGTTAACTAACGGTAAAATATGTTAGTATGAATGTTAGTAATTCCACTATTGTCCTACGTCTACACACGGTTATTCTTGCTTACGAACGTCTTATTAATCGAAATATTTAGAGCAATTCGCAATGTTTGCATACAATGCCGTAAAGAGGGGACCCGAATTTCAAGCGCACTGGAGGGATGAATTCCCTTCACCCTAATGCGTTCGATATGATTAAGCCCTGATTAGTCATATTCTACGGGGTAAACTGTAGTTCACATTATAAAGAAACTAACGAGGGAGGTTTAAAATTAGAAAATACATACTCAAAAGCTTTTAACAGATTTCTAAGTAAGTTTTTTACATTTCGTGAAGAATGTATTTATTACGATGGCCGAGGATGTAATATTTAAAAAGATTTTCTTGATGGAGAGTACTCGTATAAGTCATACTCGTTGATGATTGAAAAGAGAGAAAATAGAGGCATAGGAAATTATAGAACCAGCACTATTATAAATATTTTTTTTGAAGGTTTTGAAACGGTACTTAACGGGGCTTATGTAAACAATAGATTAACACATCAATATTGGTTTTTCAAGGATAAGTCTAATAACAATAACTAATCCATTTTTCATAACAGATTATATATCAGATGCTTTTAATATAAGTTCATATGTAGATGTCATCATTGACATCGTTATCAGCTTGTGAGTTTTGTGGGCAGAAATTAATTAATTGATACCCTCGAAAGGGGTGCCTCAGGACTCGGTCCTGGGGCTGCTGCTTTTCAATATATTTATGACGTAGTGTCTTTTATATGCAGATGATATGAAAATCTACAAAATAATTGCCTAAATTCCCTATACAGTCTACAAATATATAGTGCGACCTAAATAAATTACAATTTTATGTTTTATTGTTTATTCTTAAGAATACTCCTTATTGCATTTTCGTATTCCTTGGATCATTTTGTTATTGCTAGCTCACAATCATTTAATGACTTGGTAATAGGTTATCTTTTGCGGAATATAGCCATAAAATTAATACAGAGGTATTGAAAAAATTAGGTTTCGTCATCTGTAGTACGCAAGAATTTAATTCCTTCCAGGTATGTTATTAAATTATTACATAATCTATCGTTCGATCTTAATGCTGTTCTAAAACATGGTCTCTTTACTTTAATGTACATGTAGATCGCTTGGAACGTATTCAAAGACGATGTCTAAAATTTGCGAGCTACCAAGATTTTATTTATATTTACCCCTATATGATGATCTACGAGTACTACAGATATTTGCGATATCCAGTGGAGTGCCACGCCGATTATGTTCCAACAAATATTTCTGTTACCCCATTTCCAAAGGAATTCTATGCGCTGAACACGATCCTGTAGTCAAAATTCATAATTTGCCGATGAATTTTTGGGTGAAAACGCCCAAATATGGGTAGAAAATTATTTTTTCTTTAATTTTGTCCAAATATATCACAATCGTAGTATTTTGATACTGAACACGATACTATTAATAAAAGTTACCTATGACCTCGATATTTCTCAGAAAATCCACTATTTGGGTGAAAACTAGCTAAACACGGGTCAAAACTGATTTTTTCCTCAATTTTGTCCTAATATACCGATTTCGTAGTATTTTGAGACGCTAAACACTATGCCATTAGTAAAATGAACCCATGATCTCGATATTTCTCAGAAAATGCACCATTTAGTTGAAAACTGGCACAAATATAGATCAAAACTGATTTTTTTCCTAAATTTTTTCCCAATATATCATTTTCGCAGTATCTTGAGACGCTGAACATGATGCCGTTAGTAAAATTTAAGCATGACATCGATATTTCTCAGAAAATCCACCTATTTTGGTGAAAACTGTCCAAAATAATATGAAAATGATATATTTGGACAAAAATTAGGAAAAAATCAGTTTTGACCCATATTTATAGTTCTATATTGGGTTCACTTAACTTTAGAATACTTAGAACTAGTTATAGACAACATATGTTTCAATAATCTCAGAGATCAGTATGATATATGTCTGCAATTTGACTACAATAAAAAAATTGGAATTTTGATGTTTTATAAAAAACTTATTCTAATCCAATAACATATTAACCTTTAATTGGTTATAAATGTATTGTAATGTATTTGTAAATAAATACATATTAATAAAAAAAATCATAACAAGAAAACGTTTCGTTGGTAGCACTTAAATTTCTCGTATTTGTCTAAAAACTCATCTAATCTTCGACTATTTCTTTGTCGGCACTTATTTATTTGATACCTTATTTAATTTAAGGACTTATTAAAAAACATAATTATTCAGGTACTATAAAACATTCAGGTACTATAAAACAATAATGTTTTACTGTGGTATATTTCCTTCTTATAAAAAACTAAATTCGTATTCGTAACGTTTAATTCGTAGGTATCAAATATCAAAACATTAAACGTTTCTATAAAAACTTTTGTGATTTTATTTTATAGAGGAATATTCGAAGCAAGTTTCGTGGTACCAGAAATAGAAATGGACTGTAGAAGTTAACCACTACTTTCTTTTTCAATGCAATACGGTATATAATGCATACTAATATTTTACGCCTCATTGTAATTCAACATTAAAAAACAATAAAAAACAAACTGAGTCTAAAAAAAATAATTTTAAGAGATATTTGCTTCACTAATATAATACAATAGAGGGTGGTTGCCGAAGTTATTTTGTGAAAAAAATTTATATAAACATAGGTCGAAATATACTTCGTTTCCGAGATACAGTGTTTAAATTTTAATTTTTTATTTATTTTTACTTGCACCAGTGGCGTTCGTGCGAGAATGCCATAAATTTTTTTATAAAAATAAATGGTACGCCAGTGACCTTTTCCTGTTTTGATATTTTTTTAGAAATCCGTCATCAAATCTGAATGAAATTAGTCTCTTCAATTTTTTTCGTGGGATGCACCGTTTTTGAGGAAAAAATAAAACATATTTTATTGCAGGTTTATCTTTTATTTAAGGGTCTCTTTTAATAAAGCGTGGCTAAAGTAAAGATTCAACATTGAAAATAAAAAGTTGATATGAATGCGGGTAAAAAATTCCTCGATTTCTAGATACAGGATGTTCAAAACTCTTTGATATAATTAATAAAAATAAATAAAAAAATAAATTTTAAACACTCTGTATCTCGGAAACAAGGCATATTTCGACCTACGTTTATATGAACTTTTTTTCACAAAGTAACTTCGGCAAGCACCCCCTAAAATATTTCGCACTTATTTACAAACACCCTGTATATTAGTCATACTATTTGTTAATAAACTTTGGAATGTTTTATATTGTACAGCTACTCCGCGAGATATTAGTTCGCGGAGTAGTTGTTTAATATATCATCCGTTAAAAAATATGCTGCTGCAACAGTCGTTTGTTATAAATACAAGAAAAATGGACAACCCTTTCCGCGTACTATCTTACTATGCATGTTAAATTTTAAACAGTTTATGTTTCGCAAATCCTATATTGTCGTAAAGAACGCCGCAATTTCCAAAAACGCGGGCCTCTTAGCATTCACCATAAGACCGCTGGGGGCGATTAGCGAAGAAAAAGGGTTGCCCGCTAGACGTCTTCCTCCCGATCTCCCCCCTCCGAATAAGGCGACAGTTCGGAGGCGGCTCACGTCTTCACGCTGACAGGCGGCTTATAACTTGTATCAAGTAAACCTATAATGCCCGCCCGTAGATGGCGCCACAGCGCCAGGTGACAGGTACGTGCCGGACGGGTTTCCGGCCCCAATTAGTAACTTTGCGGCGACTTACAAACTCGCGTAAATATATCTAAGATGGTAGATACAATATACATCCCTGGAAGGGGCGCCAACTAACGAAAATGGCAACAGGGGTGGTCGATTTCTGTGCTAGTCCCGCAAGTATGTTGGCTTCAAAGTAACCGAAGTATGACCGAAATTTAAGTGAGAAAAAACTTATGCTTAAGCGGAGTTTGTACCCAGCTTTAAGCTGCGATTACATTGGACTCGATTTGTCCGAAAATATGATCGTACTAAATCGCATGGATTTTTAGTCGGTTCATTCGTTCATTTCGTAATTTTTTAACATTGATTTTCGTACAAAAATTTCGAATTAAAACGAATACATATATTTGCAAGTCTGGTTAAACTGTTAACGATCTATTTTTACGAATTTGGACGAATTGGTGATGCGACTGCATTAGTTCGTTTTCATAAGTTCAGTTTATACGACTAGTCTGATACTTGTAACAATGAAGTACCAAAGAAAATGTATTTGTCTTACTGTATCTGAAATATGGTCATCGTAGAACCAAAAATGTAGGTTATACAATTGAGAACAGATCAAATCAATTTTGCTTTACTTAAACTTTAACAACTACGTAAAAAATCACACTGTCGCAACCAGTGTAACCTCTCCCTTACTGGTACAGAAAATTTAGAAAAAAAATTGTACAACAAAAACTACTATCTAGGATTTCCTTCGATATTTCTTTGTGGTCAATATTTATTTACTTTATCTATGCCTAGACAAAGATAAGCGCATGCACTAACCTCTTCCGATGCTATTTGGAGACAAGGAACCAGCGGCGACCAGTGGAGGTACCATCTTCGTAGTCGTTTCACTGACAGGGGTACTACTCACAGCAGGAACACACTGCACACCTTCCCGCGCCACTTCCTGCAAAGTACTGGCAGCCCTGGATGTGATATTAGCCGGTTGAAGGATGGTGTACTGCTTATTGGCTGCTTCGGGAGATTTGACCTGGGACTCGACTTGGCTTTCAGTGGGTTTCAGAGGAACAATGATTTTGGACTTGTCTTCCGCAGCTGCTGATGGATCAGCTATGGAGGGATACCCCACGAAGGTGGCCTCGGCAGGGAAAGGGCCTAGGGGAGGGTTTTTGGTGGATTGAGGAGGGCGGAAAGCGGATGTTGTTGAGAAAGGCGAAGCGGATGTGGTAGAAGTGCGCGGAAAGGAGTGGAATACTTGCTCGCTGGGAAATTTCGAAGGTTTTCCTTCATCTTTTTTCTTTTCATCGTCGAGTTTGTCGTTGGACTCGTTCTTTTCCGAAGCTGCTTCTGACATATCGATTTCTAACTCATTAGAAGAGTCGTCCACTAACTCATTGAAGTCAGGCGACTGGTACTGCATCATTTCTCCCTTTTTAACTACTCTTTGCTTGCATTCCACGACTTTTATTTTACTTTTCAATCCAGTTGCTTTGTCTTCCGAACCCTCTTCGTGCTCGTGTTGTTCCCTCAACGTTATGACGTCTTTCAACGAGCAAGTATTATCGCTGCTGCTGTTGGAAGCCGAAGAAGGTGACATCTTCACGGTAGCCTTCTTCTCGTCGAACAAATTCTCGAACGTTGGGCTCTCCTCTTGATGGCTACCATAACCCCCTCTAGGACCAGGCCAACTGCCTGAAAGGTTCTTCAGCGCCGCCTCTGTTTCGCGAATAAGGGTCTCTTCGGCGGCACCCTCGTCGCTCGTGGACAGCTTCGGGCTCTTTTTTGCCGGACTGTCTACGTTGGAAGGGGGTAGGACTCTCTTTTTCTGGGGCAGTATTAGGGACTTGGGTTCGTCGGATTTCTTGCGGCGCTTCTCGTCGATCGGTTCTAGGGTCTTGGCGAACGTCTTCGCCATCATGGCCATGCTGGGGTTTTCGATTTTTCGCTTCTTCGACTGCGGTAGACCAAAGGGACGATTGGATCTGAAACAAAAGAAAAGACTGAGACAAGAAAGCATGGTTTCGTACGTAATTTATAATAATACTTAAATGTTCAATTAAACCTAAAGGTATGTTTTATTTTATATTTTTTTTTGAGATTTTCTTTATTTCGAAGCATTTATGGTAATGGTAATTCTAGGTTTTTTGTATCCTAATTCTAGCTACTCGGTAGTAGTCAATTGATAGATTGAGAAATATTATAAAGCCAGATTAACACATCCATTAGTTTAGACTGTAGTAGCAAGTACGAACATGTTAGATATGATTAAGATGCAAAAGTGTAACAATGACAACTTTTACACCTCACACTACACACACCTATGAACTTTTTCTATGGGGATTCACGAAAATGTTATATTCTGCAGCAAGTAATAATCAACAAGATCTAATTCAAGTCATTGTCAATGCCACAGACATCAGTCGTGAGCAACAGAATAAGTACGCGTATGAACATCTTATTAAAACTGTATTTCGAACATTTTTACTAAGAGTGTGTTTTCATATGTTTTTAAATGATATCCATGGGATCCGTTCTCAAGTATTCAAATAAATCACCTAAAAATAATTCTGAGGAAATGTCCCCTCGGGAATTTTCGGCCACAGGTAGAGAGATTTCAGGGCGAATCGTCTGAATTTTTATTCTCATCCCCAGTGCACTTATCACGCCAGCTCAGGTATGTTCAACCCTTTCCCTGTCGCGATTATATTCATTGGATTTTCATATTCGCCGCTTTTTAGCGGAGACAGTATTAATATCGCCCCCGTTGTTTTTCAACCCTAAAGTTCTTCCCCTAGCGGCGGAACCTTAGCATAAAAATTCATCCGGCTACCCCTGTGCTATGCATGCTCGCGATGAATGGGAGACAGCGGTCTCCCCCCTCTAATGTGCAAGTTTGGGGTTCGATCTTGACGATGTGGAATTTCTTTACGAGTTAAATGCTTTTTTAGTTTCATATTGCCGAGGCTGTTTCGATCTGTATATGGAGCAATACTGGCACAAATTAAAATAAATGAAGAAAATAAAACATTAAACTATTTTAATTATTTATTAATTTTTTTTTGTTGACCCGTGTAATATTTAAACAAAGTAAAAATACACCACATACATATTTTAGTTAATTTAGACACTAAACAGTTTTTATTGCACCAAAATGTCGATGATTTCACAGTTCATAATACAGAATATTGGGATCACTCGATACCTAGAGCATTTCAAGGCATTCCCAATCAAATTGTTTCTCTTTTTGTATAGAGGAATCCAAAATAAACCTCACACAAGAGAATATGATAAAACAAAATGTTAACATCCGACTAAACTAAGAAATAACGCCGTGAGTGATCAAGGGACCCCGAAACACGTACTTTCAGCTCTACTTTCGCGAGTTTAAAACAAAACGGGCACCGCTCCGTCCATCTGTTATTTAATCCCCTACTTCTTAGAGGCACCGGGATACCAGCGCTCCAAAGTAGCAGCCTTAAAGTAGCGCGGATTAGGCAGTTTATCCTGGCGGATAGTCCTTACTTTAGCTATCTGTATTTAGCAGGAGCGGCAGGGATTTCGACGAAGTTGCTCGCGAGTGATGGTAATGGCCTAAGCTACCTAGATAGTTTGCGGTCAATGTTATAATCGCCAATTCTGACTTCAAACTACCCCTGGGGATCGGCTCGTTCTCAGCCCGAAAGGCGGATATGATCGAGTCGCGTCAGATAGTCTACTCCGGCAGACGCCGGAGCTAATACTTGTGTAATGGACCTAACACGCATCCCGAAGAAACACAACTTTAAAATATTTATGTCATGCAGCTACATTAAATAGTACATTTTATTTATATCCCGCATTATCACGTAACTTATGCCATAAAAAATACAGCTATTAGATATATTTTTTATTAATTAAAAAAACACTAATAAAGAAACTAAGGAGTACTTGACACATCCTCTTACTGTTGTTGTCTTGGTTTCAGGAACGAATTTTTCCCGATATACTTGAAACAGCAAGATTATTCTAATTTTTAAAAGGAAAATTCTTAGATTTCAGCTAAGTGCTTTTAAGAGATGTAAACAATTACATAAAACTCAATTTTGATTCAAATATTATTTAATAATTTGTGTAAAATCATTCAAGATACAGTTAGAAGGATTTAAAGAAGGCATCAAGCATGCAAGCACAAAGTCTTTGATTAAGTCTCGCATGATAAATATATTTACGATAAAATTAGATTTTATTGAGCCTATTTAAATAACATCAAACAATATGTCTGTATTGATAATACATTTAGTAATTTTAAAAATATAAAATACGGTGTACACTGAGATTCTGTCTTGGGGCCGCTTCTGTTTATGTTACACATAAATGATCCATTTTAATGTCTTTTTCCATGCAAATTAGATAAGTTTGTCGATAATGCAATGCTACTAAACTCATAATATCTCATAATATCTTAATTGTATCGTTGAATAATAAAATAGTACATTATAACAGCTTTAAATTATTGGGTATTTATAATGATGATACATTGAAGTGGAAATAAATTGTTCAGTTACCTATTATACCTATTAGAACAATTTAAAAGTGTAAGTACCTAAGTTATCTGTACATTATTCTCCCAATTCGTATCGAAGTTAGTTATTTTATAGAGAAGTTCTAGTGATTTTGTAAACATTTTTAGGCTGCAAAAACAATAATATAAGGGTCAAGCAAGTAATAAAGAACATTGTAAACCGTTATTAAAACATTTTAAAATTATGCCCCGTCTATTCTATTATATTCTATTCTATTTTTGCGACATCTATTTTTTAGTACAGTCCAACAATTAAATTTACATTTATTTGAAGGTTATTTAAAATTATATCCTACTGAACACTGTTTTTATAATGTGAACTAATTTGCGATAATCGTTAGATGCAAGTGATTTATTGTATTAAGAAACAATATTAAAATTATTCTAATTGATATTATCATCTTTATGATATTACTACTAAGTCTATTTCCATAGATTTTTTAAATTCTTATTACTTTTTAATATGTTTTTTTTTTGTTATTTCAAACACGCGTTTGTCTGATCTCTTTTAATCGCGTTCTAGTTCTTGACTTAGTACAAATGTATTATCTTTGAATTTAACGTATCCAATATATTTATGTACCTATTTATCATGACTGTAAAATAAATGGTAGGTTCATGTTTTTCTCAAGATGTCAAGTTAATATTATAAATAAATATTACAATTTTTAGAAACTGAATTTAATTTCATGTTAATAAATTTAATTTCGGAAGAATTTGAAAATCTAATTTTTAATAATAATTTAGTGTTTCTTCTAATTTTTTTTCACAATTATAAATAAATCTAACGCCAACTGAGACTGAATTATGAATTTCGCCACCAGTAATTGAAGAAACCGACAGAGGCTATGGATGCTAGATCTAAATTAAGTCACGCATTGTGAAATTATTTTTATTTAATATTTCCGAAAATGATTTTGAAATATATTATATTTGTTAATATAAACTGTGTATATTCTCTTGGGCCTTAAAATTGGCATATTCTTAATAATTATTTTTTGCAAAAGCAAGAAGACTGTTCACTTGTTAAAATCAAGAATAGAATGAATTAATGCCATAAAATGGCGATTTGTTAAGATATTTTAAAAACGATGTAAATCATTATTAGTAAAATTAGTTAAATTAAATTTATTTTCGTTCGCGGAAAAATGTTCTTTTACTTATATGTACTTGATAATGCATTACATTGTCGGTTTTTAAAACCTTTGAAGAAAGTCTCTTGGTATTTATTATTTAAACCATTCATTCCGCTTTGCGAAAGTTTTAAATTATAAAGTCACGGGTATTAAAACACAAATATAAAAATATTCTTATCACTTGGAAATAAAAAACAACAAAATATCAAATATAATAAATATAATACAAAGGTACTATATTTAAATATTTAAATTGGGCGATAAATATAATAAATAAATATAACTGTCCTGAAAAATTTATTTCTATAATATTCTCTTCAAATATAATCTGATTTTAGTTGAGATTGTGGTTAAGTTTTAGTTGTAAGATAATGTTGATTTGGTAATTTTTATGAGGATGAAATAATTAACGTGACAAATATAAATTGTAGTTTATCTTAAAATTTATAACTATTTTTGCCTAACAAAAATTATACATTGAAAAAAAGCAAACGATAAAAATTCCCATCATTATATCAGGTACTTCACTTAGTTAACATTTAGAAAATCAAACTTTTTTCGTTTACAAAACTGCGAATGATGTTTTGTTTTCAAATCAGTTTGATGATTTAAAAACGGAACGCCATTTGTAGTATTTAAAACGAAAATAGATTGGTTTTTGAAATGTTAACTATTTGTCGGATTTTTTCAGTTTTTTGGTTAGTCAAAAAATGTCTAATAAAAATTAACCATTTGCTGCTTCTTTTGGCGTGTCTTTTAATTAATTATAAAAAAATTTCATAGGTGGAAAATTATCTAAACAAAAAGAACTATAAAGATTAAGTAACTTCCCACAAATAAATGGCTATTTATAAAACATAAAAAATGGAAGTGAATTTTTACAATTTTTATAACTTTAGCAGTGCAATTTTTTTACGACCTAAGAACATTTCTATATTTATTTATTTGTTTTCGATCTAAGTATGTACATTGTTTGTTACGAATATTAGTTGTTACTAAGTACGTTGAGACTTTTTTAAATTATTTTATAGAATAGATAATTTGTTTTTTAATTATATATATTTTGTTATTAGCTCTTTACTTTTACTTTATTTTAAAAGATATTAAGCTAATTCAAATAAATTTAAAAAATTGTCCTAAAATCTAAATGAAATGAAGTTCTTTGAACCCACTATGTAAAAGATATCTAACAACATAAAATTTTTTGATATTATTTCATAGAATTTTTGAATAATTTTGTTGAATTATTTGAATTAGTAAATTCGCCTGAAAACTTTAGAAAATT